CATTTTTTGCTACTTTTGTCCAAAGACTCCAAACCACCACCAACCACTACTTCCCGTGCCGTGCCGTGCCACGCCAACCACTACTTCCCGTGCCGTGCCGTGCCACGCCGGGACGAACGGGCCTGGGGCGCTGGCACCAGTTCATTCAATGGGAATATGCTGTGGCTGGCTCTGTATCAATGGCTGGCTGTATAGAAACTATACAGGTGTTGATCGAGTTTCCCGTTTGAAAATAGAAAACTTCAAAGAGTTGGTCAGAGACTCAGAACCTTCAAGATGATTTGGTTTCGTTTTCTCCTTTCTGAAGTGTGGCTTGAGCGCTGTAGAGTTTGCTCCATGAGTGAACTGGGCCTTTTTCTGGACATTGGCAGGTCTGTGATAGGTTATGGGTCTCATTCTTTGGTTTTCCTAAACTGCGGCCTGGGATAAGCTTGGCCAATGTGCCGAGGTCTTGCTGTGAGCAACAGCAAATGTTCTGAGGGACACCCGGCCCTTGAATTTACCACAAAAAAAAAAAAACAAAAAAAAAAACAAGGATTCGGGCCTACGGACGGACCTCCGGGGGGGACATAAGTGCGCGGTACAGACAAGATAAGCATCGGTCTTCTGCATAGGATGAGGTGGATATCGAGAGATGGTTGAAATTGGGAAAAAAAAAAAAAAAAAAAAAGGAAAATCATAAAACGAAATAAACAGATTTCCGGCCACTATAAAGCAGCTGCCCTGGAAAAGAAGACGAAAAGAAAACAAAGGAAATAATAGAAAGAAATAAACAGAATTTTCGGCCACTAGAAAGCAGCTGGCCTAGGTGTCTGACGTAGGCCGGAAAGACTCCAATGGGATCGCGCGCCATATCCCTCTCTCCTTTTCTCCCAGCCCGGGGCTAGGTCCCACTTACACGAATTAAGACATATATTGACCGTAGATAGCACAGATCAACGGTCAGAATCTCATAATCCGCGCAAGTGGGGCCTTGCCCCCGGTCCCGCAGGAGCTGGGCGTTACCCTCTATCTACAGAAACCTGCGTTGAATTTCGTGCTTCTATCCTCCCCCGAATAGAACGCATGGCCATTTTAGCTGTATTTGGGGGCAACTTTCGGTCTAGACAGCGAAAATGATTGTTGTGCATTTTGTTGGGGAAGCCGGTACGGGACGGGACAGTGGGACCAGGGCCCACTGATGGTGTGTTCCGCCCCTAAAAATAAAAAATGAACCAGTTATGAACGAGGTCAGACGGGACAGCGCTGGCAGGTCGATACAGTCAAGCCCAGTTTCGGGATGTATAATGGGACCCTGGACCCGTTTCCAGCAGGTGCCGCTCCCATCCGATGGATTGGAGCCTTCCGTCGAAAAAAAAAAAAAAAAAGGTCAGATGGGACGCCAACCTTACCTACGTCCCTCGTCCGTGTCGGTGCAACACCTCTGCTCCCCACCAATAGATTGGAGCCTTCCGTTGGAAAAAAAGGGAAAAAAAAAAAACGAAAAAAAACAAGGCCAGATGGGACGTCACTAGATTGGAGCCTTCCGTCGGAAAAAAAGGAAAAAAAAAAAAAAAAAAAAAAAAAAAGGTCAGACGGGACGTCAACCTTACCTACGTCCCTCGTCCGTGTCGGTGCAACACCTCTGCTAACGCTGCATACAAAACAAAAAAAAACGAAAACAAACAAACAAAAAAAAAAAAAGTTCGCCCCGCTCGCTTACCAAACTGCCGCCCGCGGCCTAAAGCTTATCGTCGTAACAGCCCTCCAGCCCCTGTCGTCTTCCCCCGAACACAACGCACCCTCATTATAGCTGCACCGGACCGGAAAGATAGATTGCATGCGTTCATTATCAGGGTGCGTTATGTTCGGGGAAAGAAGGTAGCGAGCTTGACAACCCCTCTCCGCCCTCGAATCTCTCTCCCTGCAGCCTGCAGCGTTGCTATGCTAAGCGATCACAACAACACCAGCGTTCGAATGGTGCAGTGCATCTTCTCTTCTCTCCTCTTCTCTTCAGCGTCAAGGCAGCGATTAATTAACAAACCGACTTCTGTCGTCCATCCTTTTGCTCTACGTAAGGTCACAACAACATACAGACCCGCGGCACTTCTGGACTAACTTTAGCGACAAACAGCGACAGCTACGTCCACGACAGTCCTACTGAGAGAGTATGCCGTGCGTATGGCTATCCCTTCATGATGACGCGAACGATTCGGCCGAGATGTCCGAATTGCTGCACAAACACAACGCGATTTTCTGCACATCTCCACAAACACAACGCGATTTTCTGCACCTCTCCACAAACACAACGCGATTTTCGGCACATCTCCACAAACACGTCCACATTCGGAATTGGGCCCCGGCCTGAACAGGTTCGTCCTACATTCGGAATTGGGCCCCGGCCTGAACAGGTTCGTCCTAATTTGGCACGCACATAGAACAGTGCGCTATGTTTTTTTGACCCTGAGCAGTTAAAACAGTGCGAAGCAGACCATGAAATGCAAAGTTGCCCGTGCTGCTAAAAGTTGGCACGCAATTACCACGATGAAATGCCGTGCTCACCACCCTGAGCAGTTAGAACAGTGCTCAGCAAGCCTTTGCTAACGCATTGAATGCTGCGCGCGCCCCATGGAGCGCCGGAGGCAGTTGGTCCCACCCCCTCTGTTCCCTGACACTATACCATACCGGGGCAAGGTCCCACTTGCGCAAATTAGGAGATTTGGGCTGTTGATCTTTGCTCTCTACGGTCAGTATCTCTTAATTCGTGCAAGTGGGACCTAGACCCCGGTGATGCCCCGCTTGAGAGCAACAACCCTACTCTCACCTACTTCCCCCCCCTGCACCCGGCAAATTACACCCGGCAAATTATGCTCCCCTTTTTTGGGCCCAACGAGGTCCGGAATGAAATCCAATCCTCTTCGCTGATGGGACCAGGCCCCGGTGAGTATGTACCTACGCACGAAGAAGAAGGGCGTAGCAGAGCCCGTCCGTATCATCTGAACTCGCTCACCTTTACTGTGGAGCATCACCTGAATTCCACCTCCACCTCCGCCTCCACCTCCACCTCTACCTCTACTACTGCGTATGTATTCCAACCTCTACATATTTGAACATACTAAACCAGGGGCAAGGTCCCACCAGCGAAGGGGATTGGATTGAGCTCCTGAATCTGGGTGTGTTTTACGCACAGACTCAGAAATGCAGTTCAATCTCGATTTTCTTAACCTCTCCACGAAATCGACCAGATTCACGCATTCAATCTAATCCTCTTTGCTAGTGGGACCTCGGCCCAGTACGCATTTATATCTACAGTGTACTCCTAGGAGCCCCTTTCTGCCCCTTTCGCTGCCGACCGAGGCTCAAGTTTGAAATAAGCACAGCGCATATTACGCACTTCACTGCTCCACACCTATAGGGACAATCTCTCCAGGGGCTAGGTCCCACTAGCAAAGAGAATTGGATTGAGCGCGTGAATCCGAACGAGAATGTCGGAAAGATGCAGAAAATCGACATTCAACTGCTTTTCTGCATCTCTTCTCAAAACACCTCCACGTTCAGGAGCTTAATCCAATCCTCTTTGCTAGTGGGACCTCGCCCCAGGGGCATGCTGCCACAATCCCGTCGGATTCTCCACCCGCTCGAGGCAGGATCTTCAAACTCCAGACTTTTTCCCTTTTTTTTTTTTTTTT